TGGTACAGCCTAATCATTTAGGTCTAGAATGATGTCTGCCAAGCTCCGTGAAAATCGGTCAAGATTTAGATATAGCTACCATATATAGTTTCGTCCGATTTCATGTAAATTGTGACCAAAATCCATATATATCTTTCGATTTGCACGAAATTTGGCATAACGTACTGAATTGAGCCTAGAGTTATGTCTGCCAAGTTTCGTGAAAATCAGTCCAGATTTAGATATAGGTCCCATATATAGTTTCGTCCGATTTCATGTAAATTGTGCTCCAACATCCATATATATCTTTCGATTTGCCCGAAATTTTGCACAACGTACTGAATTGAGCCTAGAGTGATGTCTGCCAAGTTTCGATAAAATCGGTCCATATTTCTATATAGCTCCCACATATAGTTTCGTCCGATTTCATGTAAATGGTTCACCAATGTCGCTATATATCTTTCGATTTGCACGAAATTTGGCATAACGTACTGAATTGAGCCTAGAGTGATGTCTGCCTTGTTTCGTGAAAATCGGTCCAGATTTAGATATAGCTCCATTTTATTATAGATTGATTTTATGTAATTGACGCACCAAGGAACCAATAGGAACAAAACGTTCTAAAGTTAGTATAACCTAACCTGTGACAAGTTTGTTTGAAATCGCTTAATATGTGGATATAGCTTACATATATTTTTTCGCCCGATATCAAGCAAATTGGGCATCATACTCCTCATGTTAGTCAGATTGACATCAAATTTTGCACAACGTACAAAATTGAGCATAGAATTACGTAGTTGCGTTTTCTAGAAGTACAGACATAGTCAACCGGATGACCTATTTATATTTGTTTGAAGTCGATTTACACACTTTATGGACAAATCTAGGTAGATTCACATTTAGATAAATATCACATATTTTATTTCATCCAATTTCATGTTAATAGTCCTGTTTAATGTACCCATAGTGGTGAAGGGTATCCTAGAGTCGGCCCCGTCCGACTTTACTACTTTCCTTACTGGTTAAACAATATTTTTCAATGTCTAGCAGGCTTTAAGGCGCGGATTTTTAAAGAATATTTTTCAACGACTAGCAGGCTTTAATGCGTGGATTTTTAAAGAATATTTTTCAACGACTAGAATCAGATCAGAAACTCAAATGTGAATTTTAAAAGAAAATTTTTAAGGGTGTAGCAGGACTTAGTTTCTGGATTTTTAAAAACATGTTTAAAGGATTAACTGGACCATAGGTATTTAAAAGAAATGTTTGTGTTTCATAAATAATACATGTTTGAAATGTGTGTAACAATAATTTCAATTACATTAAAATAAATAACCGGACGATTTGTTATATTATTTGAGCATACTGTAAATGGGATTTCCACAGACACACATTTATTGGAAAATGATGTGAAATAAGAGTAAAGCTTTACATATCTATGCAGTTATGGTTTATTAATGAAATAGTGCAGTTCGACGTTCGGCAAAACGGAAAGAAGAAATCATCGAAAATCATCATCGAAATGCAGTTTAATTATATTGAAAATATTATTCTTATATTCTTCATTACGATACTACTTCAAATAGAAGCTGATATTAATAAACCACCAATTTTGTTTATAACAAAAACTCGACCAAACAGCTTGGACTCTCATCCACATTGATTTCAAACTTCAAGATGACATGCAATGGAATATTATTTCAATACAAGTTGTGAACAAACAAATAAAAAAATCTAGAAAATAATAAAAATTGGAACTTATCCGTGACATAAAATATTTTTTCCTCATGGATTATGTGCGTGGATTTTGAAACAATTATTTTTTCCTCAAAGATTATAGGCGCGGATTTTAAAAAGGAATAATTTTCCCTCAATGATTATAGGCGTGGATTTTTAAGGAAATATTATTTAGTAGTGTTGGCGGAATATTTGGGATACTACTGTTTGTTGTTTTTATAAAAACAACTATTTATAGGTGGGGAAAGTATAACATTGTCCGCCAAAGATTATATACATGGATTTTAAAAGGAATATTGTTTCTTAAAGAATAAGACTAAATTAGAATATTATGAATAAGAATGGTGAGTTGCATAAAAAACCAACCACAAGCTATATATAACATGGGATAACACCATCAGAGCTTGGATAGGAGAGATCGTAATAATATGCCTGCCTATGCAGTTGCATTTTATTAGCTTGGAAGTGAGGTTGGCTGTACGGTGAAATATCTAGAGAAATATATATCTATTTTTTTATTTGAAAAGCGTGATGCAGTTCATTATTTTTGGAAAAATTATACTCATCATTATCATTTTGATAATTAGTCGAATTGATGCAGCTAAAAATTGTGCTGATATGCGAAAATCCCGCAGTAGATTTTGGATAATAACAAAGACTAAACCTAACTGCAAGCATTTTGTAAATGGTAAATGCATTTATAAAAATGCTAATAAAAATTCTTGGAATGGAGACAGGCAAACATTTAATGGGGCAAATAATACTATTTATTTTTAAGTAATTGAGAAAATTGGAAAAATCAAATAAATATAAATTGAAATAAAATATCGATAATCGTGTCATTGTCAATGTAGATGTTAAAAATGGGACTGGTCTAAACTGGCCAAATATTTTTAATTACGAACTACGCTTACATGTGTGTCGTAGCATCGGCAAATATTTGATATAATAATCTTCAAAAAAATGGCAAACATTAACTTTTTCAAATTCCTTTCTCAAAGGCTAGGGACCAATATACATTTAAGAAAAGATTTTTATCAATTTCTTTATATCCTCAGCCTAATGGCTAATGAGGGTATATATACTTTGACACGGTGTAAATATACCCATTAGTCCACTACTTCTGGTACCTCCCCCACAATGTGGTAAAAATTGTGCTAAAAATAAATGTTATAATAAGATGCAATCGGAATATCCGATTTTAACGAAACTTTGTACAATCTATTATCTTTACCCAGACTAGATCAAGTATGATGAGACCAATTGGACCACTTGTCAATATTTGTCAATATTTATAAATCCAATATCAGGGTAACCTATTACCTCTACCAAGCCTAGATCAAGTTTGAAGATGGGACCCATTGGTCTACTCTTTCTGGTACGTCCCGCAAAAAAGGTCAATATTTTCAATATATATAAATCCAATATCAGACGAATGGAATGTCGATTTGAACCAAATTTTGCACAGCCAATTATCTTTACCAAGTCCAGATCAAGTCCGAAGGTGGGACCCGTCTGCCCTCTCCCCTGGTACATAATACAAAGGGGTCAATATTATATATTTGACCAACATAAAATCCGAAACATCCTTAATTAAACATATACGAAACATATACCTCATATAATTCCGAAAAAATATACCTTTTATAACATATACCTCGAAGACCTCGTCCACAAAATCATAGGGATATATCTGTCTGCAATACCGATTGACACTTTTTTACTTGCTTTAATTCAAAGGACTAGCAGCACTTTAGTCTTGGATATTTAAATAACATTTTTAAAGGGCATGCAGGACTTCAGGTATGAAATTTTAAATTACATTTCTTAATGTAATTTTAGGGGTTTTTTTTCAATCACATTTTAAAGGAATTTTAAATTTTTAAGGGAATAGCAGGAAAATAGACAATTTAATTTATTTGCATTTCAAAAATAGTATTTAGTTGAACATTTTGTAACAATAATTTAATTTCATACCCTTCGCCACGATTGCTACACACAAGAGATGTAACTACAATTCCTATTAAAAGGTACATTCAGATGTATACCGATATAAACCATAGTACGTCATTCTATGCTAATATGGACAATAACCTGCCGATAGAATAAACGTAACCTCGCCGGGAGACCTATGACTTTAAGTCGGACAAAATTAAATATGTGATATATATATAAATATTTGAATCTATTTTAATCATTCTTCTGATTTGTCATTCTGAAGGGCTTTAGTACACCATTTACATTAAATCATACGAAAATATATATGGGAACTTTATCTAAATCTGAACCGATTTTCACGAAACTTAACACACACCATTCTAGACATAATACAAAATTTCGTGCAAATTACATTAAATACAATTGCATTAAATCGGGCGGAAATATATATGGAAGCTATATATAGATCTGAAGTGATTCTTACGAATTTCTCTAGGATTTGTCCTTGGACCAAAAAAATAGGGCTGTAAGTAATTTCATCCAAATCAGTTTATAAATGCGATAAATATTTACAATTTTATTCTCATGTCTTTTTGCCTGTTACAAACATATGCAGAAAGACATAACAGGTTATAAACGACCGATTCCTTATATTATTTCAGCATACTGTACACAGACACACATTTTTGGATTTTCCACAGGAACACATTTTATCTTCTCATTGTAAAATGATGTGAAATAAGAATTAAGTTTTACCTGTCAATGTAGTTCTAGTTTATTATTGAAATAGTGAAGTTCGTTGTTCGGAAAAACGGAAAAATAAGTTATAGAAAAGAATTTTTTTTTTATTATTTGAACCCGAAATGCAGTTTATTTATTTTGTAAATATTATTCTTATATTGTTTATTTTGATGATATTTCAAATGGGAGGTGATGTTAAAAATCCAACATTCCCTCAAAAAATTCCGTTTATAACACAAAGTCGACGAAACAGATTGGACTTTCATCCACATTGATGTCAAATTTATAGAAGACATACAATAGTATATTAATTTTTTATTAATGTGTACAAATAAATAAAAAATTAGAAAATATTAAAAATTAAATTAAAAAAATTACAATGTTTTTTTTTATTTTTTGAGATATTGGGTTTGTAAAATCGATATGGAAAAAGAGAATATTTTTTCTCAAGTATTAAAGGCTCGGATTTTTAAAAGAATATTTTTCCTTCATTATTAAACAAATAATTGTAAAGATATAACACAGAAAAATATTTCTTTTAAATATTAAAATAAATTTTATTTAGCATAATTATATTATAAAACACAAAAATTTAATAAAATTATCTAATCATCATTTTTATTCCAAAATAATAAACCATGTACGGCGCCCCGCTCACAACCAAATGCCCGTGAAAAATCACCAATATGATTGACAGAAAAATTGACAATTTTCCTATTCAGCGTACTCTGTGATGGCCGATGATAACTGGCATCTGCTGTTCCACAATATATTTGGGCAAAATTGAGGAAAAATGATTTCAATAGATTCTCATCATATTGATCTTCTTTGAATGTTTGATAGGCCAATTTCAGGCCATTTATTGCACTGTCCACTTCTTCAGTTTCACCACGATGATGTTGAGCGATGTGCTCAAAATCCATTCTGAAATCCTCATTTTGTATTAACATATCGAGGACATAAGAGAACACCTGACCATAGGCACCGACATCAATATCGGCAATGGTAAATTCATAAACGATTTGTCGAGCCAAAAGATAGCCAATGGAACTGTAAATATATGCCATGGGTAATTCAGGACGATAGTAGGGATGTTGTAAGATTCCCAGCGGTACCAGCACTGAACGTTGTCTTGCCAAAATGTAGGGCAGCAGAGAACTGGCCGTGTCATATTGTTCAAGGGGTAGAAATTCCAGGGCATTGCGCCTTAACCTCATATTCAAATGGCGATGTGTGGCTTGAAAATTAAAATTGTAAATTTTCAAACGATTACCATAATAATCATTGGGGCTGAGATTTAAATTTCGATACAGCTCATCGAGGCTATGCGAGGCCAGATAAACAATTCTCAGCTGAAGAGTACGTAGCTTGGCTCGGAAAAACTTCATCATTGATGAATCGAGATTGTAAACATTTTTATTGAGAACCTTCAGGAATATCTGTTTAATTTTCGTAAACATTTTGTTGACAACATCGATTTCCGTCTCTAGCTCTGGATGATTTTGTTCAAACAACCATTGGGTGGGCAGGGGGAACAGTAGACGGGTGCTTGAAACACAATCTCTATATTCCGTTTTGAATTGTTTGTAATTCAAATAGCTGAGGAATTTCAATTGCAAATATTCACAAACAAATCGTGGGTTGTAGGTCTGCAAAAAATCCACTACCGCTCGTAGATAAGAGATGTTCGTTATAACCAATTCCATTGTGGGATCCAAATTGTGAATGTCGAGCAGAACACTTAGATACTGCAGCAACCATGGCTGATCATTTAAACCACTGACCGTGGTAAAACGCATCTCATCATCCGTTTCATATTTTGTCTTCAACTCCAACAGTTTATTATCCAAATCTTGAGAATCACTCCATAGTGTGCGATATTCCCGTTCGGGCATAAGGAATCGCAATGTTCCGGTGACCACATCATAACGTAAATTATTCATAGTATGTTTTCCCAAATCTTGAGGTCTTCCCAATTCCAGAACCAAAATATTTGGATTTGTATCCTTGGGCACAGCCGCTTCATGAACGATGACATCATTAAATCCATATTTCCGCAAAATAGCCAACATACGTATCCAGTCGTATTGTTGTGGTGTCTGATATATGGAATTTCCCTGGGTAACACTAATGGGCCATTGTAGATCATGTTCATGCGTTTCCAACCATTTTAAATATTCCACTGTTGTAGGTACTTCAGTGGCCAAACAGGATTTGTAATAATCCGAAACTTCGGCGGCATATTTCTTCGACGTAGTTTGACTAACATTCCGCAAAATTTGTTTCAATTCGACATTGACTTCGTAATCCAATTTTGTCAAAGTCTCTTGATACGTTCCACCTCCATTTTCTGGCTTCCAATTGCCACATGCATAACCATAGAAATCGTCACAGGGTGAAATATTTGTATCCATAGATAAGAGATAGAGACGTTCCTGCACATCATCATGCATATCGAATTGATAATCATCGGAAATAGAATTGGCCGATGGCGGGGGATATGATGAATTGGTTTGGGTAAAACCAACAATCACAATAAACCACAAGAGTATTGCAATCAGCGGCAATTTAATTTTCTTCATAATTATGTTTATTTGTTTTCTTAATTTATTTCGGATTTAAATATTTTGAATTTCCGACACCGCCACTCTGTTATCAATCGTTGCGAAATATAAACTGATGTATGGCGTTAGTAGCCCCACTACTGCATCCGCATCTATTGTTTTCCGTACAACTGTAAACGCAATTTCTTATCGCACAATTTCATTTCATGTTTTTCTTTTTTTGTATTCAATAAATTCGCCGTCAATTTTTCTAATCTAAATGACCTTTAGATTTATTGTCATGGTACTTTTTTGCAAACTAGTGAGGTAATTATCAAGGGAAAGCGAAATAGTTGCAATGAAAAATATGTAAATAAATAAACAGGAAAAAATAATAAGAGATGTACATTCGATAGGATCTAACTGTAAATATTCTCCAAGAATCAGGATAATTTTATCAAAATTTTTAAAAAGTCATTCTATGCTCAGTTCGCTGTTGAAAATATCGTGTCAATCGAGCAAACCTAGGCTCAAATTTGAAAGTTATGCAAAATTTTGACACAATCGGACAGACGTGGGGTATTTATAACACCAGTTAAATGTATTCGGTCGAAAAAATATGTGCGAGCTATTTCTCGCTTAACCGATTTCAAAAAACTTAAAACGCTCAAAAATTTTCCATGTTGGTATATTTTCGGCATAGTCTCCTTGGAGTGGTATTCGATATTTTGATGGTCATAGCACGTTTTTTAACTCAACTGACTGCAACTTGATATTTTGGATTCTGATTGGTATTCCCTTTACCTAAAATTATCACTATTGGTCCATGTTTTGGGGTAGCCCCCAGAGAGCGGTACCCACATTATTCGGTATTTTTAGCACATTTTATATTATAGGTTCTTATGAGGAGTCAAATCTTCCCACTAATAATTTAAATTCCGATGCAAGTTTTGGTATAGCTCCCATATTTATATGGGAGCTGATATTTTTATATTTTGAAAATTTAAACCACATGCTTCCCTGTTATCGGCTGTAATTTGGCATTCCGGGTTCTAGTAAGGTAAAACCTATTTATGATAATTATTTTATATGGGTTTCTTTGGAAATAGTCCAATCCCAATTCCGTACGAAGTGAATGTTGTTCGAAAATATTAAGCTGAAATTAACAAAAATAGAGTAGAAACGTATGGCCATTTATACACCATCGGAGGGAAGCTGCACCATATCCCGATTTATCCCAAAATTAAATCCAAATGCATGACAGACAGATGGACGGACATACATACTAAAGTTTACTCAGAAAGTTATTCAATAGTAAATATGGCTCTGAAGGGGCTGAAACTTCCGATGTAATGAGCAAGTCCAAATGAGGTTAAGGTCGGGAGAGAATAGGAACCTATCGTACCATAATATGGTGTACCATTAATATAAAATCAGACTAAAGTATATATGGGAGCAATATCTAAATCTTTACCGTTTTCAACAAAACTTCGCAGACGTTAAACTGAATTTATTTCAGTACGATGTGCAATGTTTTGACTCAATCAAATAAATATTGGAAGTTTGGTGCACCATTTACATAAAATTGGACGAAACTCTATATATGGGAGCTGTATCTAAATCTTAACCGATTTCAACAAAACATCAAAAAAATCAAACTGGACTTTATTTAGTACGATGGGCAAAATATTGCCTCAAAATATTGGCAGGTTGGTGCACCATTTACATAAAATCGGACGATTTTAAATATGGGAGCAACGAATAAATCAACTCAGAAAGTGAATGTGGAATATGCATATATATTCTTAGAAGAAACCATGTGTCTATTTCGTTTCCTTTTACCTGTTACAAACATATGCACAAAGACATAATGCCATATGTATAGTGACTATGTCAAATCACAGACCTATATTGTAAATTTTTCTTCGAGGGTCTTTTTTCACTCCGTTTGGAAAACACTTATTACTCGTATAGACGGGGAATTTTATATGGGATCAATAACAAAGTTTAATTTATATTAATGATTTTCAACATCCAAAAGTTCATAATGCCAAAATCCTGACCAGGACCTTAAAGTTAGACAAAAAACATGGGCAAATCGTTTAATTTTCCTATGAAAATGGTTTTCACTCTCCAAGAGTTCTTAATGCCAAGTACCTACCCAAGTCTTTGATATTACAAACAATTTACGTTACCTTTACCGGGCTTTGGCAAAACACGGACTTATCTTAACAATGTCCGCGGAACATATATTGAAATTTTTCGGCGAAGACGTTGTTTACCCTTCAATAATACCGAGGAATTTGGAATATTAGGTTGAGGAAAAATATTTTTTTTGGTTTAAAACAGTTATTGTCGATTTTTAGCTCCTGGTCGACGTTACGACTGCTAACATGCCGGACAACTTTGATAATTTCTCCGATTTTATCGACATTTTCGACGTCTGGCCTAACTGTGCGAGGTGCATCTTTAACATCAAAAATTCCTGAACGGAATCTACGAAACCAAAATTGAACATAATTGTCTGTTACAGTATCGAAACCATAAACACCATTCACAATTTTAGACGCTTGGCTTGCATTTTCGCCATTGCCAAAGAAAAACTGTAAAATGTACCGAATTTTCTATTTGCTCACTTCCATTTTTAACACCCTGTAACTCACAACGAATGCACCAAACAAAAAACAGCAAAATATTTTTTTACTGCGAAATGTCACCCTTCCAACGAGCATAAATCTGAAATTGTTTGATCGATAATTTACGAGAAATCGATCAGCACTCCGTCTAGATCCTCCCACACAAAATGGTCAAATTTTTTGCTTACAATTCATTTTTAATAGCATGCGAACGGACTATACGATTGGAAATAAACTTTGCACAACCTCGTTGATAAAAAACATAAACCATATATAAATCGAATAATAAAACTTGTGTGTAATTCCGTAAACATCCGCATACCATAGGCTGTTGCTCTACATATATCTATCTGCAATACCGACTGGCCTTTTATTACTTTTATTTTAAAATAAGGTAAACTCGAAATGGTTCACCCTGTATATGAAATATCAACACTAAAACAATTGTCTTCATTTTTATTATTTACATCAATGTTATAAATTCACATCCATCAGTACAATGTACTATTCTCTCTTGCACTTTCTCTAAAGTATGCATCGAACACCCTGATAAGAAATCTCTGAATCATAACATTTCTCTCTCATTTTTACGAGGTCTGAACAAAAAAGAACCGTTAAGGTGTGGTCAAAAAAATTAAACTTTTTTATATAGCCAACGCTTTAAGTTTCAATCGTAGCAAAACGCCTCTCTTTGGTCGGTGTTTCAATTTGGGGAAAAGGAAAAAGTCAGCGTTTGCTAATTCCGGTGAATACGGTGGTTAATGCATTCTAACTGTTTATTTTGGCGAAAAAACTTTGCACAAGGATCGATGTATGAGCCTGAGAGTTATAAAGGTTGAAAATCCATGATTGGGTTTCCCACTATTCTATGTTTTTCTGGCGAATTGCTTCACACAAACGGCGCTTGACTTCAAGGTAATATTCCTTATTGGTCATACGACCTTGTGTGAAGAATTCAAGATCTACCACTTTATTGCAGCACAAGGAATGCTTGGGAAATCCTTCACATATTACCGAACTTGTCATGCTTTTTTGGTCATCCTCACTACGTTTAACCGGCCACACAAAAACTGAACTTGTGTTCTGACCGCAGTAAAGATGCTTTTTTTATCAGATCTCGTTCTCTTGCTCTCATAATTTATGCAAAATGAATATTGTTTACATGTTACTATTATTGGTGTTGTAAGTCTTCTGGTAGCGGTCTGAGGTTTGTTCAATGATAAGAATATAAAATTCAATTTATTTCCTTTTGAACATCGACGAAGACATTTACAAGAAACTTTTTAAACGCTAAAAATGTTGAACATTTTTAAATTAATACTTATATCCTTGTTACTTATTCAAATCGATTCATTGGACCTGGGACGTAAAAATGTTGAAAATGACTCAGTTTCTCTTCAAGCCACAAATTCCACCGAAGGAACGTTTGTTATATATAACATTTTAACGAGGACAAGATTTAATTGCGTTTGTGTTATAAATGGACGATGTACCAATAATCATAAATGTTGAGATGAAAATAAAGGAGTGGTTTCCAGTGTTTATAACTTTTATGAAGTGAAAATATTATACGGAAATTGGAAAAAAATATTATCTTTGTAAATGTGTATCTGCAATAACAAAAATATATGTACGAATTAACAACTAAATAAAAAATATGTTTGAAAAAAAAATTATTTTTGAAAAATATTATAATTTTTTTCTCGATAAGTATCGATCAAACAATTTCAGATTTATGCTCGTTGGAGGGGTGACACTTAGCAGTAAAAATAAATAGTTTGCTGTTTTTTTGTTTGGTACATTCAGTAGTGAGTTACAGGGTGTTAAAAATGGAAGTAGTAGAGAAAATTCGGTACGTTTTACAGTTTTTATTTGACAAAGGCGAAAATGTAAGCCAAGCGGCTAAAATTGTGAATGGAGTTTATGGTTCCGATACTGTAACAGCCAATTATGTGCAAGCAGTCGTAACTTCGCGCTGGAGCTAAAAATCGACCATAAACATTTTTTAAACCATTTTCGCAAAGCTGAATTCAAAAAGAAGTTCGATGTTTGGGTGCCACACCAATAAACACAAAAAAAGTAGAATGGATTCAATTTCCATCTGCGAAGCCTTGGCCAAACGGAATGAGATAGAGCTTTGTTGGGAAGTTTTAATACATCCGCCAAACAGTCCGGACTTGGCACCAAGCGATTATCATATTTTTCTTGCAGTGCAAAATTTCTTTAATGATAAAAAATGGTATCTAGGGAGGATTGTGAAAATAAACTACTAGAATATTTTGCGAATAGAGAGCAGGAATTCTATGAGAGCGGCATTATGAAGTTACCTTTAAAATGGCAAAAATTATACAACAAAACGGTGCATATTTGTCCCAAATCGGGCATTTTTAATACTCCTAGGAT